TTCAACAAAATATGATGTCAGATAAATACATATGTACATATTTAAATAAATGAATAAAATCAAACGCACAAGAACACAAGCCTCTAGGGAAAGTCCTCAGAAAAGAGGAACAAGAGAACAGCAATCCTTATTTGTGGGGTTAAAATGGAGGAGGGTCTCTAATTTCAAGTAATAATAATAATAGATTAAAAATGCTCATTTCTTTCACTCCTCTGTAAAACTCCACTAAAACTTAAGAGGATTTTGTTTTAAGACATACACTCACAGGGATAAATAATCCAAAAGGAAATAATATGAACCTGGAGGACAGATGACCGTCTGTTACTGTCTGGTTGTTGTTCAGTCACTAAGTCATGTCCGACTCTGCGACCCCAAGAACTGCAACATGCCAGGCTTCCCTGCCCTTCACTGTCTCCTGGAGCTTGCTCAGATTCATGTCCAGTGAGTCAGTGATGCCATTCAACCATCTCATCCTCTGTTGCCCCCTTCTCCTCTTGCCCTCAATCTTTCTCAGCATCAGGATCTTTTCCAGTGAGTCAGTACTGTCTTAGTAGACCTGAAAAAATCAAATTGTAAACCAGTACTGCAGGCATATCTCTTCCAGAGAAGGATACATCAGAACCATAGAACTGTTGACTCACATGCATTAAACTTATGTACTTTATTTCACTTATTTTTTAAAAATTTTTCCTAATTCATTATCCCTTTCCTTTCTTCACTTCTATATCCAACTTAAAAACAATAATATTTAAATTTGCATATTTACCTTTAATCTGCCTTAAAAATCTTACCCTTTGACCTTACCAATCTAAGGAAATCTCAACCCTGAATATAGTCTTCAAGGAACTATCTCTAACATTGGACCTAAATGAACAGGTCTGCTTAAGATTGTTATGAATCAGCAATTTGATCTCATGTACATTTCTGATCACCAAACTCAAGTGGCCCAATTGTGTTTCTCAGGTCAGTTTTCACCGCCTCTCAAACTACCCTTTCAAGCCTCACTCTCCTCAAACCATCCAGCTCACCTTTGCCTTCAATCTCAGCGACAAACTTTTATTAGAATAAAATGCAGCTACCTAACTGCTTTCTTTGAACTGTTCATTCTCATCAACAATTAAACACCTTAAAAATCTCTCCTCTTAAAATCAGACACCAACAACCTCACTTCTTACCATCCCTTGGCTCTCAAACCCTCCAGGAGCAAATTCTTGAAAAAGGTTTCTATCAAATTATCTCCATTTTAGCAGCTACAAATCCCTGTCGGAACCACAGTATTCTCTTTGCAGTCTTGCTATGGTCACCAGTGGCATTTCTACTGCTCACTTTAAAAAGGGATTTTATTAAACTGTTTATTTTGAAATAACTAAGTTTACAGAAGAGTTCCAAATATAATACAGAATTCTCTTATAAGCTTCCCCTGACTTCCCCTAAGTTAACATGTTGCATAACCATAGCACTATTACATAAACTAAGAGATTAACAGTCATGTAATACTGTTAACTAAACTATAGACTTTCTTTGGATTCAACCAGTTTTTTTCAGTAATTTTCTTAGTCTGTTCCAGGATAATAAACACATTGCATTTAGTTGCCATGCCTCAGTCTCCTCTCATCTATAACAGTTCCTCAGTCTTCTATACCATTTTTGGCCTTGACACTTCTGAAGAGTACTGGTCAGTGGTTTTGACAAATGTCTCTCAGTCTGGGTTTTTCTAAGGTTTTTTCATAATTAGGTTGAGGATATGCATTTTTGGTAAGATTGCCAGAGCAGTGATGTGATATCATTCTTTAATGCATCAGATCTCCAGTACATAATGTCAATTTGTTTTATTGTTGGCAAGGTTAACCTGGATCATTTGATTAAGATCTTTGGTGTAAAGTTAGAATATCTCCATTTAGAATTAATGAATATATTGGGAAGATACTTTAAGATTATGCAGACATACTCTTTCTCCTCAAACTTTTGCTCATTAATTTTAGCAGCCATCAGTGGCTGTCACCTGCAAAACTGATTATTCTGTTCCAGTGCCAATTTTCTATTTCCTTTACTCTGTCTTCATTAATTACTTGGAAATTATCTGTAATGAAAAGCTCTCTTTTCTCTTTCATTTACTAGTTTATTCATTATATATTTATATCAGAATGGATCTCAGATATTTATCATATGGGTTATAACCCAGTACCATCATTATTAATTTTTTTGTTTCAATTGTTCAAGCTCTGGCTTTTAGACTGGTTGCTATGTCCTTTTGACTTGGCTTCAGACAAATACACTCTAACATTCCAATCTCCCCAAGTCTTTGAATCCCTTCCTTTTCATTAAACCAAGGCAGGTTTGACATTTCTCAATCACTTCCTGTGGGCCACTTTTTGGTCCATGTTGTAGCCAACCAAACAAACGAGCTGTTGGAACCCCTCGGAACTCCGCTAGCTGCCAGGTTAAATGCAGAATCTCTGCTCAGTGAGCCCACCCTCCTCACCTAAATGCTTTTCATTCTCCATATCCTTTTCTTGAGCGTGTAATATGGATAAGTTATTTTAACCCTCTTTACTTCAGTTTTTTTCAATTGTAAAATAAGGAAAATGAAATTATCCTACAAGGTGGTTTTCAAATGATTACATGTGGAGCACATTTTCATAGGGCATATCAATAGGCACTTAGTATTTATTTCTTATCATTTTACTTACTGTTATTTTCCTTCCAGACCATAGTTTCACCATCATCTCTACATGAATAATTACAAAAATTTAAATCTTCTGCTCACACCTGAGTTCCAGATGTTTCCTAAACTTCTAGCTCAGCATCATCTCCTTGATACCACAAAGGCACATCTAGTCAACATGCCCAAAGCCATTTTCACTATTTTTCCCCCAAACCTCAGCCTCTTCCAGGTTTATTAGTCCAAGTAGATGGCCCAGTATCCTTCTAGCTTTGCTAGACAGGAATCTAAGAGTTATATTCCTAATGTTGTTCTTTCCGTTTTTGTTCTATGTCCAATCCATTACCTGCTTGCTGTACTCCTTAAACATTTCATTTATCCAACCAGTTATTTCTATTCCAGTGGCCACCATCCCAAATCAGGCCTTTCTGCTGTACCATTTCTAGATCCTACAAAATGGTTTACCCAGTCACTCTTGCTTTCTCCATTTTTGTTTCTCTTAAGTGATGCAAGAGTGATCTTTTACAAAATAAGGCACATTCATCTCTATACCTCCTTGCTTTAAACCAGAGTTCAGCAAATTCTTTTCTGTACAATGCTGGACAGTAACTGCATAAGGCTTTGTGTTTGAACTGCCTAACTCTTCCATTGTAGCAGGTCACAGCCGATGTGTAATGAGCATGGCTGTGTTTCAGTGAATCTTTATTTACAAAAAAAATGGGTGTGGGACCAATTTGGTTTCTGAGAAAGGAAAAATCTGAAGCAAGTAGTATCTGGAATGGGATATTAAAATAACAGACATCAACCAAAACACCAGTTGTAAAGGACACCTAGATTTCTGATTTAGGAGATGCAGGGAGAAGTATTCAACATTTCTGCCACATGATGCACTGGACAAGTGTGCTGTAGCCACAGCTTGGGACATGCCTTGAAGCCACCAAGTTGTCAGAAGGTGGGGTTGGGGTGAATGTGGGGAATCAAGGGTTAAGTATGGATAAAATGTGTTCAAGAAAAACCAGAATTTAGTACTCAGTTATTATTTCCCAAGAAAGCTGATAAGGAACATGTAACTTGCCCAAAGTGTTTAGTATTGACCATTCATCATGGAGACGTGTCATACCATGAGTGACATGAACACTGAAGACACAGTGTTACTGAATCAGTAAAATGTAGTCATCATTAAAACAAACAAAACATGGGGCTTCCCTGGCAGTCTAGTGGCTAAGACACCACACTTTCAGTGCAGAGGATGTCGGTTTGATACCTGGTTAGGGAACTAAAATCCTACATGCTGCATGGTACTACAAAAAAATAAAAATTAATTTTTAATGTTTTAAAAATAAGTAGGCCACAGGCAATCAAAGAAAGAATAAAAAATGAATTAGGTTGCTGGGAGAAATATCAATAACCTCAGATATGCAGATGACACCACCTTTATGGCAGAAAGTGAAGAAGAATTAAACAGCCTCTTGATGAAAGTGAAAGAGGAGAGTGAAAAAGTTGGCTTGAAGCTCGACATTCAGAAAACTAAGATCATGGCATCTAGTCCCGTCACTTCATGGCAAATAGATGGGGAAACAGTAGAAACAGTGCTTGACTTTATTTTTTAGGGTCCAGAATCACTGCAGATGGTGATTGCAGCCATGAAATCAAAAGACGCTTACTCCTTGGAAGGAAAGTTATGACCAACCTAGAGAGCATATTAAAAAGCAGAGACATTACTTTGCCAACAAAGGTCCATCTAGTCAAGGCTATGGTTTTTCCAGTAGTCATGTATGGATGTGAGAGTTGGACTATAAAGAAAGCTGAGCGCTGAAGAATTGATGCTTTGGAACTGTGGTGTTGGAGAAGACTCTTGAGAGTCCTTTGGACTGCAAGGAGATCCAACCAGTCCATCCTAAAGGAGATCAATCTTGGGTGTTCATAGGAAGGACTGATATTGAAGCTGAGACTCCAGTATTTTGGCCACCTGATGCGAAGTGCCGACTCATTTGAAAAGATCCTGATGCTGGGAAAAATTGAGGGCAGGAGGAGAAGGGGACGACAGGGGATGAGATGGTTGGATGGCATCACCAACTTGATGGACATGGGTTTGGGTGAACTCTGGGAGTTGGTGATGGACAGGGAGGCCTGGCATGCTGCAGTTGATTGGGTCACAAAGAGTCGAACATGACTGAGCAACTGAACTGAAGGCCACAGTAAGCAGTTTAACAAGTGCAGTTGCAGAAGGTGTGTTTAAGTATTACTCATAAAGAATGAATTTTTATTTAGATAAAATTACTGTGCTTTTAGTTTTTAATGTAGTTTTTTAATGTGTTTCCAATTTGAAGTGTTTTTTTTTTTTCTCAAGCTCCGAAGTGAGATAATATGTATTTGTTGATGTGGCTAGAAGAATATCTTGGTTGAAGATGCAGTGTCCTTGGGATACTTTAAGCAAAAAAAAAAAAAATTAGTTCATGTTAATAATGGTTGGATATTTTTCATTCAGTTCATGGAATTAAAGTTTTTGGAGATAAACCTACCAAAAATAAAACTTAGGACATTAATATAGGTGCTGTTATAAATTACAGTGAAAATCTAACACTGACAATACAATCTTTGATTTCTCATTAATACACATATTTACATTCTGCTAGAGCATAGCTTATTCTTAACAGAAATGCATTTTTGCATTGATTCCATAGTACTAAATTCCTTAAATTTTATTAGAAACTTAATATAATTATAAATATAATATAAAAATATATTGATAGTCTATCAGTGAAAGATTATGGTATTTTTCTCAAAATTTAAAATAACTGTATGTAAACACAGGGTGAAATGCAATTAAATGAAATACAAAGTTTTTAAAATACAACTGATACTGATGATAAAGAAACATCTTCAGCAAAGCAGTACAAAATTTCTCTTTGCTGCCCATTATCAATCATGCTTTAGAAATGTTTGAGAGGACTATTCTATAATAATATTGAAGATATTATGAATGAGCTTTCTGAATTTTGATTACATTTTTCTTACCAGAATTCACTAGTCAAAATATTCAATAAATGGACCTCTAACTCCACAGATGAAGAAATAACTACATATGCAGGAATTGCCTGTTGATCAGAAATAAAAGGAAACTAAGAAAAAATATACAAATATTTTTTAAAAATTTATTTTACTGATGTATAGTTTATCTACAGTGTTAATTTCTGCTGTATACAGCAAAGTGACTCAGTTATACATACTTTTTTTTCATATTCTTTTCCATTATGGTTTATCACAGGATATTGAATAGGGTTCCCTGCTATGCAGTAGGACCTTGTAGCTTATCCATTCTATATATAATATTTACATCTGCTAATCCCAAACTCCCAATCCATTGCTCTCTAACCACCCTCCCCCTTGACAACCAAAAGTCTTTTTGATTATATCTGAGTCTGTTTCTGTTTTGTAGATAAGTTCAATTGTGTCATATTTTAGATTCCACATATCAGTGATGTATGGTATTTGTCTTTCTCTTTCTGACTTAACCTCAATTAGTATTATAATCTCTAGGTCCATCCATGTTACAGCAGATGGCATTATTTCATTCTTTCGTATGGTTGAGTAGTATTCTGTTATATACATGTACCACATCTTTATCCAGTCATCTGTCAATGAACATTTAGGTTGCTTCCATGTCTTAGCTATTGTGAACAGCACTGCTATGAACATAGGGGTGCGTGTTTCTTGTTTAATTATAGCTTTGTCAGGATGTATGCCCAGGAGTGGGATTGCTGGATCATATGGCCAGTCTGGTGTTTGAGGAAACTTCATTCTATTTTCCATAGTGGCTGCACCTATTTGCATACCCACCAGCAATGTAGAAACAGTGTGGAAGGCTGTTTTGGGGGCACTGAACAGCAGAGAGTGAAGGCCTGTGATCCTAGCAGGAAACAAGGAAAAAGAAAGAAAATTATTCCAATTGCGTGGACCTACTAATAAGTGGCATAGGTGGAGCATAGGGAGAGAGAATTCAAATAGTAAGTCTAGCAGTTTTTCTAAGTTGAAGATCAAGTGATCAGAGTTTGGGGAAACAGAAGTGACTGGAATTTTTGAGGCAGAATATTTGGGATGAAGTTGATACACAAAGAAAGAGCTCTGTGTATCTATAAGCTTCCTTAAACAGTTGTCTTATTTACCTTTCTATACATGAGGTGGAACTCCACAAGGCTGGGGAACTAACCAGTGGAAAACTGTAGGTTAAACAATTCAAGGAGTTCAAACAGAACTGGGAATAGTTTTCATTCCCACAAGCTAGAGTAGAAAGATCTTGTAATATACAAGGCATCATGTAGAGATATCAAATGATTTCTTCTTAGTTACAGGGCTAAACTAATTTTATACTAAAGCCTGCCCTGGAGTTGGTCTAACAGCACAGGTATCCTCTGAAAGTTCATACTGATTTCAAGTAATTTAACTGCATGCTCAAACAAAGCCCAGTGCTTTCAAAGAACACAACAAAATTTGACCAAAAGTGTTCAAATTAACATCAAGCATCCAAATGAAAATTACCAGCCCAACAATGAAGTAGGAAAATATGACCTAGAACCAGAATAAATATCAGTTAATAGAAACTGACTCAGTAATGCAGAGTATGGTGAAATTAAGATGAGAATGTTACTCCCAATGTAAGGAGAAAAGTGCAATCAATGCAGAGAAAACTGAAAAATGCAAAAAATCATGGAAGTTTTAGAGATAGTTTTTTTAATTTGAAGTTTAAAAATTCTGCAACCTAGAAGGATTATTGGCAGATTATACATTATAGAAGACAAAAGAAAAAAAGCAGGGGGGTGGTGTGTGGCGGAAATGGTGAAGTTGAAGAACAGAAAGTATCCAAAGAGAAGAATAGAGAGAAAAATACTGAAAAAGTGTATTAGTGGTATATGGGACAGTATGACTCATTTTAATATACCTATAATTGGAGTCCCACAAAAGGCAGCATTGTGGAAAATATTTGAAAAAATAATGGGAAAACATTTCATAAATATGCCAAAAATTACACACCCACAAATCCAAGAAATTTGATCAGTCACTGGCAGAATAAATATGAATAAAATCACACTGAGGAACATCAAAGAAACCAGACAAAAGAAAAAGCATATGCTTACATTCAAAGAAACCAAGACAAAGATGATAAAGAAGTTTTTTGTGGGGGCAGGCTACACAGCAAGAGATCTTAGTTCCCCAACCAGGGATCAAACCCATGCCCCCTGCAGTGTAAGCAGGAGTCCTAACCACTGGGCCACCAGGGGATTCCAATGAACAAATCTTTAGACTCTCAAAAATATTATGTTAAGTGAAAGATGTTAAAGACTACATAGTATATGGTTCCATTTCTATGAAATTCTAGAAAAGGCAGAAGTAAAATGGTAGAATTTTAGTGATTGTTAGGGACCAAGAAGAAGGGTAAGAAATTACCTCCAAAGAGCCAAAAAACAACTTTTTGGGTTGAAGAGAATATTATATGCTTTAATTTCTATAGTGGTTATAGGACTGCATGCATTTACCAGAATGCATCATAAGCTGCCCTTAAAGCTAGTAAATTTGATTGACTATATAAAACTATACCTCAATGAATCTGATAAGAAATAGTCATGAAATGAAAAAAAAAAAAGAAATAGTCATGAAATGGGGAGGGGTGTTCAGGATGTGGAACACATGTAAATCCATGGCTGATTCATGTCAATGTATGGCAAAAACCACCACAATATTGTAAAGTAATTAACCTCCAACTAATAAAAATAAATGAGAAAAAAATTTTAATGCAAACTCGGGAAAAAACAAACAAAAAAAATAATCATGAAATGAAGCAAAAATATAACCTTTGGAACTTTTAAAGAATTATAATTATAGGAAACATTGTTTGCAAAAGGAAAACATTTAAATTGATCCCTAAAAAAGCAAAAGAATCAATGAACCTACTAAAGAATAAGCACTCAAATCATGTACAAGATTTGATTTTGAAAATCTGTAACTAGGTTTTCAAAGATGTATATTTGTTGATAGAATCACTGATATAATTATTCTTAGCTGGATAAATTTATTTTCTGTCCTGTAATGTAATGAAATTTGACAAGTCAAATGATTTTGCAATATCTAAATTTGGTGAATAAAATTTGAAGTTACAAATGGAGAAAACTATTTTGATAAGTTTGGCTTACATAAAATATTTGCCAAAGGTACTCTGAAAGGAGGAAAAGGACATTCGTCATGAAAATATTTGGTATGAAATATTTCAGTATTTTAAAAATTGGAAGTGAAGATATTCCACATTTAGCAGATACTGCTCTGAGCTTGACAGATAGCACTGCACGTGTAGAGACAGTATTTGTCTACCAGAAATATTACAGTCTCTCAGGAAGAGTAAAGATGCCACCATTTAAAATTCTTTGACTGAAAAATTTTCCTTTGAAGAAAATTTCAGGCAGTTTTATGAATCTAAAACATTTAGACCATGTTGAAACAAAAAATGCCACTGATACTATATCAGTAAGATATATGACCACAAAACTGATTAACATATGTAAACATTTACCAAAAGTCATAATTCGATTTGTTGTTTTCTAATGTTAAGATAATGTTTTAAGAGTTGGTTGTATGCTTTGCCATATATGAACTGTGCTATTTTTATTTTTTAGAATAAATAACTAATAGTTGTGAAAATAATTTTGGAATAGTACTTTTTTAATAGGCCCACAGATTAAAGATAAATTGTTGACTAATAAGTATTTCTACAACATATAATTTTTATTTTTAGCCCCATTTTAAACCTCAAAATTGCCCCAGCATGGATGAAGAATTACCTGATCACTCTATAACCAACTTCCAATATATCTGTTTTTGCACGTATACAGTACATTGGATCCCAGAAAAGTCCATTTAGCTAAAAAAATATATCTTCCTGAACCTGAAAGACACCTCACAGTGTGGAGATCCTGAGCTGCCAGCGGGAGCAGTTACTTTTCTCTAAGGATTTAGTATTCTCAAATGGGAGCGAAGTTATCATTTTATGAGGACTCTCATAGCAGTGTGGTGATAAATTGAATGAGAATAGACAGGAAAAATACAGAAATGAATTTAAAAAGCGTTAACAAGCTCTGAGGTCTGGAGAATCCCTGAACCTAGCCCCTTGTAAATTCTAAAGGAAATCAACCCTGAACATTCATTGAAAGGACTGATGCTGAAGCTGAAGCTCCAATACTTTGGCCACCTGATGGGAAGAGGTGACACATTGGAAAAACTCTCATGCTGGGAAAGATTGAAGGCAAAAGGAGAAGAGGGTGGTGGAAGATGAGATGGTTAGATAGCGTCACTGAGTCAATGGACATGAATCTGAGCAAACTCCAGGAGGTAGTGAAGGACAGGGAAGCCGGGTGTGCTGCGGACCGTGGGTCACAAAGAGTGGGACATGACTTAGCAACTGAACAACAATAACAAACAGGCCCCTTGCAAGTCTCAGGTGTTAATCTCTAAGGATGAAGGAGTTGGAAGAACTTTGTCAGTGCCAGCTTCTTTTCCTGTGGTAACATGGTATGTAGTGACAAAAGAGGTCATCATCTAAGTGGCAAGAACATATTGGAGAAGTGAGTCTAAGGCTCCCAGTGTTAATGGAAGGGTGAGGTTGTGGTATCAAGAGGTTTTCAGACTCTCACAAGGCTTTGGTTGGGAAAACATCTGGTGGATGTGTTATTTCTAACAGACCACAGACCTTCGTGTGTCAACAAGTACCTATTTTTCCAAACTGATCATTATCAAAAGTCTGGTTTATGCTGAAGTCTGATAACACAGCCCCTGCCCGAAGTCCTCTCATGGCTCCTGTCGGACCCACTGACACTCCATCTGGGTCCCCCGCCTCTTAATTCTTGATTCTCTGCATTCTTTTATCTAGTTTTTACCTTTTAGATTCATTCTTTGCTTTACCTTTTACCAAATACAAACGCAGAATAATGAGATCAAATAACTACCCCCTCAAAAAGTGCTGAGCAGTGGGAAGATTTACAGAGTAGGAAAAATGAATAAGGATAGAATATATGATCAAAGAGGGATTGTCTGTGTCCCAGTTTTAATGGAAAGCCTCTCTCTTTTGCCAGTTTTATTTCCTTAGGAGAACAACACACTGGTGGCTGGTTACTAATATTCTACTTTATAAACAGCAGCTCCTGAAAAAGCAGTAAATCTTGCTTCATTTCTCTTACATACTAGTGGGGCTATTATTCCCATGCCAACAGACAGGACTTTTCTAGCACATATGTTTCTGTAGAGGCAAACAAAAAACTACCCATCACGTGAAAATAGAACCCATAAATTGTGTGGTTTGAATTGACTACATATTGCATAGTCTTCCTATACAAACCTCCATTTTAATTATTCTTCTTTATAAAGAGATAGTCACCTATAAGTGCATTATTAATGTAGAATATTTCCCTTGTTTTTATAGGCATTGCTAAAGGCTATATTGAATTTAAAGTCTGGGATTATTTCTGAGTGAAGAACTTTGTACATTTGGATAAAAGCCAAACTTTGAATGTTTAATCTTAACTTAGCAGGATATTTAATACACGATAAATTTTATTAAAAAGGTCTCAGTTATTTAAAATCTGTCTCAGTACTCACATACATAAAGACTAAACTTTGAAGGATCATTGTCATTTCTGCTGAATGATTTTTATTAAGATTGCCCTTCTGTCCTGATTGTGTTTAGGGAGTGAAGATGTCTGTTACTGAGGGAAAAATACAATGCTTGAAAATTAAAACCCTGGGTTATTCTGATGTGCCATATTATCTAAAACAGTTTGCTGACCTCTTCAAGGGTTCGTAGGCTCACAGAAATGTGAGGTTTTCTGCTGTAACAGTTATTCTGATAATATCCAAGAGTGATACGTAACATGAAATCAGAAGAATCACAACCATTTAGAGCAGGAAGAGACCTTTCATTATCATCAGTCCCACCACTGTCATTTTATAAATGTGGACATTGTTCCCAGATGACTTCTCTGGGACTAGTATGGGGTCCTCAATCTATAAATCCTGACTTTTAGGGTTCCCTTTAGAGCCTAACGTACTCAAGAGGAAAATTTCACACAATTAGCTTAGTCAAAAGACCTTCCAGTGACACTACGCAACTCTCGGTTGTAACTGCAGGAAACAGGCCTCTCGTTCTCTTCTCAGTTCGGTACCTGATTTGCAGAAAGCTACCCATGTGGACCGCGGGGACTCTAGCAATACAGTTCTGTGACGGACAACCCTACAGGCCTCAGAAACTTGGGGTAGGCTCCACAGGCTCCGGGAAGACTGTGCCTGACAGTGCCTTCAGCCACGTGGTGGGAAACACATCACTTTAAAAGGGATACTCAAAAAAATAAAATAAAATAAAAATAAAAAGGGATACTCTTCTGTGAGCTCTTGTCTCCAGCTTCATGAGAGCTTCATCAGTGAAGCAGCCCGGTGCTCACAGTAGACTGTGAGAAATAAAGGTCATGAGAAATGACTGGTCTCTACGTGGTTGTCTCACAATGTGTGATATACCCATGCCATAAAGCCAGAGAAAGGCAGATCAACTGAGGCACATGTCTAAGGAAGAAAGGTAATTTGTTATTACCAAAGATGATTTCTTTGGTAAAGGGATGTAATATATAAAACTGTTTTGCCTTGTGCCTAATTCTTTTCAGATTTCATATATTGCGTCTATTTGTATATTTTTATGGGTGGTAGGGAGATGATAGAGCAGGACCAAATATAGGAGGATAGCAGCTCACAGAGGAAGAAACATTCTGGACTCAGGCAGTCCTGGGTGAGGATTTCCCCTCCTCTGCTTGTTAGCCATGTGTTCTCAGAGAAAAAATTATCTAACATTGCATATTTAACTGTCATGAGGGTTAAACTAAATTATACATGTGACAATACCTAGCACAGTCCTTGGCACATACTGGGAGCTCAATAACACTAGTTTTCTATTATATATCATTTAACCTGTAAAATCACCTGTTGTTTATTTGTGAGAGGTCTCACATTTGTCACTCCAGAGAAAAAGGAAGTGATGATTTCCAGAATCACCTGTTTTGTGAATATCATGTGCTACAATAATGACTAATAATAATATTTTGTGAAAGCACTTACAGATGGAATTTGACATTTCCAACTTGGGTAACATGATAATGACATTGTGATGTAGAGAAATTAGGTTCTAGGATTGGAACTCTCAAGTTAGGATTATCTTTCAAAGTTGAGAGACTTAGGAAGCTATTAAAGACAAGATAGATACATTTCCATTGCTCGCCTCCTAAACCTCTCTTTAGTCCATCTCTTTATTTTTGTTCCGTCCCTTATTTTCAGTTTAGACATCATATTTCCTGCCTGTATTTTTGCCAAGATGCGAAATTGGTTTTCCTGCCACCACTCTCATCACCTGCTGATCAGTTGTCCATAATCTCTCCAGAAGGGTTTTTGAGGAATTTAAACCTGATGCTCTGCCTCTTCTGTTTAAAAGGGCCCCTCATCACCCACAAGTTGAAGGCCAAGATCACTGACATGTTCTTCGCGATTGTGTGTTTAATTAGCCCTTGCCTATGACAGCAGTCTCTCTCATTGTCTTCCACACTGCCCACATTACACTTGTGCCTGGCAGTGGACTTGTTACCCTGGTAAAAAACAGACACTTGCGTCTCTGCACATTTCTGTACACTATTTGCTCTTCTCGGAATACCTCACCACCACCATCTTCCTCTGTTTGAGCTTAACTAGCTTCTGATGGTCTTTCAAATACTTGGTCAAGTGTTGTTTTTTGCTGGCAAGTTTTTGCTCATCTTCTTGGCCTCAAAAGTATACATTCTTCTTATTACTGAGAGGAATCTCAGGATCACTCGGGCCTTTTCCACATAGAATTGTCATGATTCATTAACTCAAAGGGCTTTCTCAACTAGACCATGAATTCCTTGCTGTTAGGGAAGCATCTTTGTGTCCTTCAACATCTGGTACAACCTTGGCTTTCAAAAAATGTTACTTCGTGAATGCATTCATTTAGAATTTCTATCATTTGGTCCAAATTAAAAACCTTCTGGCTTCAGTCAGACTAGGTGATCTGAACAGTAAAGTTGTAGTAGTAGATAACTGTCAGAAGGTTCTGTTGACATGAGGGGTAGATGGGGAGACTGGGTCTCCCCCACTCGCATGATATGACATCCACTCCTTTGTGAAGCAGTAAGATAAGGAAGGGCTTCCCTGGTGGCTCAGAGGTTAAAGAGTCTGCCTGCAATGCGGGAGACCTGGGTTCAGTCCCTGGTTTGGGAAGATCCCCTGGGGAAGGAAATGGCAACCCACTCCAGTATTCTTGCCTGGAGAATCCCATGGACGGAGGAACCTGGTGGGCTACAGTCCACGGGGTCACAAAGAGTTGGAGACGACTGAGCAACTTCACTTTCACTTTCAAGATAAGGAGAGGCCAACGATGAAAAGTTAGGTATAGCTGGTAAGAATATGAGGTTATCCCACTGTTTTTGAGAAGCAGAAATGAAGTGCCAAAGGGCCCTGCCAGCATGATAGGATGGTTAGAGGCAGAACTGGGGCGAGAACCCAGTTATCTTACTCCCCAATCCAGTAGTCACCCACTTGTCTTTTCTACTCTAGCCTGACTTCTGTTTAGTTTTTGGAAATAAGCTACTTACCATGCCAACTTCCCACTTAATTGGTCAGGCTGTCGAGATTGTTCTCACCTGGGGAGATTAGTCATGTCAGCACCTAGGGAGATTCTCCTGCTTTTGGGGGGGCCATGGAACACTTCACAAAGGAAAAAAAAATAGCATAGGGACTGCAAAAAGGCTATTGACTCTATTCTTTCATATATATCCCACTGGCATGTTCTCATGAAATTGCCTCCTATTTTCCTCTCATTTTCCTTCCCCTGCCTTCCTTAAAAAAAGAAACATCCGTATAACTTATGGAAGGGCGCCAACATCAGCCAATGCATATATTAAAGTTTTAAATCAGTTATTGTTCTAGTACACACCCTGGGGTTGAGAAAGAAAGAACATCCAGGACTAACAAACCTGATTGTTCTGGCAAAGTTGCCATTCAATTCCTGCTGGCATTTCTGGGCTTTTCTTTTCCTTTAATATTCCAACCTCATTAAAAAAAAAAAAAGTTAATGGCTCAAGTAGCAGTTTTTCACATTACTACTCCATTCAGTTTCTCTGTAAGAGTTCTACCTCCTCATCTCGTGAGGCTTACCCAGAGGGCACAATCCCCAGAGTTTGCTTACTTAGATGCAGAGACAGCTGTCAGTCTGATGGTGAGTTCATTAGACCATGAATTATTCCTCACTTTATTAATTTCTGAGCAAGGGAGAGACTCAGGCTTGGGAATATGAACCCTTCACAACTTGGCATTCTAGGCTGAGAAAAACACTTAATCATAAAGTTAAGAAATCAAATTACAACTGCGTATAACTTGTGAATTTTTTTTATAACACTCTGAATTTTAACTTAACAGCTACTCTGAGTTGGACCTATACAAGTATTCTGATAAATACTTTTTTAACATTTGTTTTGTTTTCTTAGGCAAATACTGGAAGTCGCTAAGGATGGCGGCGACACCAAGGGGCTGTGCTCTGGCTGGGGCTCAGCTGCAAGAGGAGACAGAGACTGTTTCTGCCCTGGCCTCCCTGACAGTGGATGTTGAACAGCCCTTTGCTCAAGAGGACAACAGGTATGAATCCAACATGGGGAGGGGGGTCACTACTTCCGGTTACATCCAGGCTCATCATTAGCGCTCGTGAACCTCTCTCCAGGCGCTTCTTCACCTGACTCCTCCACTTTCACCACCTGTCTTCTCAGAAGCCATGGAGGCCACAGCGCATGCTGTTGGCTCTCAGGAATTGATGTTTCATTCTCCGCAAGAAGCACAGAGCTGGAGCATGTGGTTGCCGTTCACAGAGATATAGAGGGATGAGATAGATGGTGAGAAAAATCACTCCTTGGTGGATAATCTAGTGCAGATCATTATGGAAAAAGCTTCTTATGGACTTTTTTCCTTAGTTATCTCTGTTTTTCAAGATACTATTTTTCTTTTTCTCATATTTCTGAAACTACTGATATTAAGGAGAGCAGAAGCTGGAGGTATGGCTTGTCAACTGGGTAACCTTCTATGACTGTCCATGACATAAAACTACTGGATGAAGAGAAAAGTTACCTCCCAAGGAGATAGGAATGTGTGTAAAGGAATGTGTGGACTTGGGTCTGATATTATTTTACTTTATGATATGAAGGAGTTGATTTTAATAAGTCTTCATATGAATACCTTTCAGGGAAAAAAATGGTGACCTAAGATTGCTTCTCCTTTTAAGAAATGTATGTACATTTTGGTGTTCAACAGACCAGGCTACATTCAGGATTTTTTTCACATGTACTAAGACCAAAACCCCACAAATGTACGAAAAGTAACGGTGCTCTCTGCGGATGACTTCAGAGTCACATTTCTTCAGTTTAAAGATGACTAGGTGAGGCTTTACTAAAGCTCTGCCAGCTTGCACTTGTAAATTGCTTCTGAGAGTGAAATTGAACTCCCTCCGTCAATAACATCACCGTTAATTACACAGATCCTGCTACTAGTACATAGGTTGGCAGTTTTCCCAAGAATGCACAAATTCGAACAGTTTTAGCTTTCTTGCTTTTACTGGGTATTCAGAGTTTAATGTATTTAACATCTTGCTTTGTCCATAAAGAGCAGGAGATACATTGAATAATAGATTTCATTTTTGTGTAATTGTTTTTTCTTACTACAGCCACTTAAAAAGGCATCTTCATATGGGTATCTGGAGCATAAGGGAAAACTTATTTTACATCTGATAATATGAACTAACCCCCTGCTGTTCCCAGCTAAGAACCAAACCAAGTTCATAATTCAGAGGTGTTGTAGTTATTCCCAAGGCCAAATACAGTTAGTTGTCTGTCATTTGAGGGCTGTAAAACTAAGGAAACTAACATCTGTTAGTGTTGGATGTAAAAGGAGCATAGCTATTCTTCAGAATTCATTTAATATAGAGAAGCAAAGCTAAATTCTAGCCTGAGTGAAGTGAATTAAGTCATTTCTCCCGTTAAATTGCAGAGCTTAGAATAATTAAGAATGGTCAGTCCTGTTGTGAGCCCCATGTAATATAAAAATCTCAGGACTTTGGAGGAATTGCTCTATAAGCATGCTTGTTTATCCTCAGGTACATAGCATGCTTGACTCCTGATAAACCACAGGGACTTGACCCTGACTTCAGTTCACAGTGATTTTTAAGCTTCATCTGATGGCAGAGAAAGAATGGGGGGTAATGTGAAAGTTTTGATGTACAGGGGAGCAAAGCTGAAGTTTGTGGCTTGAATTCATGTTTCTTTATCATCAGTTTTAAACAGATTGTATCTATTTTGATTGATTTTTCTTGTGGGAAGGAAAACGGTTTTGCTTGAAATATTTTTTGTGGCTTTGAACTCACTTTTTCAGCAGTGAAAAAGAAAAATTCTTCTAGAACTGGCTTTTGCATTTCTGTTGAACCATGCATGAATTTCATCACAGAGAGTCAGACAGGGAAAACCCTTGAAAGCCACAGAGCATTTATTCTTTTCACAGGAATGCTATCGGAATTGTCCTCCTACTTGATATAGGAAAAAAATGGCTTTCACAATGAGGTAAAGAAGTAGAAATGTTCTTGGGCCTTTGTTATGAATGCAGTGTTGTAAGTACACAGGAAATTGAAAAATTAGAAAAATCAGAACTAAATGGATGGAAAAGGGTGAAGGCAAGATTCTTTTTATAGGAAATTTCTTGCCAGTTATTTTGGAGAATATATTGGTGTTTGGAGTGAGATGACTCATTTTGCACTAAGATTTTGGGTAAAGCAGCTCTTTTCCTGGCCAACTCATATCTGACTCATTTACCACTAGTGAATAAAGGATAAAATGCTCCTGGCTAGGAACCATTGTAAGTATTTTTTGTTCATTTTTTGGGGGGGGAGGGAGGTGGATGTGGGGAGATGACAACACAGTGCAAAGTGTTGGATCATGAATAATAAATTATTAGAAAAAGGCTGGGGATTCATTTTGGGGATGGTTGACTGAAGTATAGTTTTCAAAACATAACTTTCAGGTGGCAAAGGACTTGAGCAGGAAGGAAATGACTGGTGGTGGGTCAGCAAAAAACAACAGGACAAAAGTAACCTAAGTGGAACTAACATATATGTTCAAAGAATGTGAAATAGGACTGGTCACACAGAACATTTCGTTTGGGAGAGAAGACTGTGAGCTTAGCTTTTTTCACGTTTGTCAGGGGACTGCACCTTTAAAAGATGATAGTTTGCATTGGTCAGGTATGTCTCAAATGCTTCTACTTTGAAAAGACCAGTGCAGTACTGAGGTTTACTCTTGGATACCAGTTCAGGCCCTGTTGAAAATCAAGAAAAAGTTCTCTCTGGCAACTAAGACTTCAGAATGATCAACCCCTAAGTTACTGGGAGCATATTTACACTCTGGATTTTCTGACTGTTTTTTAATCAAAACAAATTTAGGTTTTCAAATGTCAGTTTATTGATTATAGTGTCAGTCACACAGCTGAGCTACCAGGGAAGCCCATTCAGTCACACTGGAACTTCATCATTTCATCTTCAACTTCTGTCAATTTTTCTCATGAAAGAGATGATCTCAAGTCATTATATTATACATAATAAGCATGGGAAAATGTGTCATTTTGAATCTTGTCATTCTGTTTTTTGAGCAACTATCTCATGGATATTTTTTAGAAGTATAATAAGTTGGAAACTTCTAAGTATCATCTGCTTTGGCTTTCAGTAGCTTATCAGTAGTGGCAAGGACTTGATAACCCCATTTTCCTCTATCTGGAGATTTATATAGAAATAGAGACCTATTAAATACACATTTATGTCTAATAGAAATACAACTTTGTTTTCCATGTTTTGGGATTGTCTCTTCAGGGTTTCTGGAAGCTAGATGTTGCACCAGTTATTCAGGTTTCTGATTTTCCTCTATGATACCACTGTTTTGAGCACTTGATTTATCTAGCCAGGCAAACATTCCAGTGTTAATTTTATTCTTAATTTTCATCTAGTGTCAACAATTCGTTAGTTGAAATGTGGGCTGAGATTAGGAAGCTCCTGGTAAAAGAAAGGACAATATATCCCTTCTTACCTTCCTGTCCTCCTCCTGGGACCATCATTTTTCTCTGTGTTCAGTGCCTAAAAGTGTGTTCTTGGGACATGTGTGAGCTCTTAGGGAATAAATCCAGTGTGTTTGAGTTTCTTTACGAATAAGTGTTTAATTTGAAAAAAAGAAACAGTATGCTTCTTCACTGTTATCTGCTTGCCACTACGGAGGAAGAGCAGAGTGTGACTCTGGAATCAGCTTTGTGCGTGCTCAGTGACTTCCGCTGTCTGACTTTGCAACCCCCTGGACTCTAGCTTGCCAGGCTCCTCTGTCCACGGGGTTCTTGAGGCAAGAATACTGGAGTGGGTTGCCATGCCCTCCTCCAGGGGATCTTCCCTAGGTTCAAATCCCATCTCCAAATTAAGCAGCATGTGCCTGATCGACAGTTATTATCTCTCTGGGCTTTACTTTCCTTGTTTTTAAAATGAAGGGAAAATTTCATAGGGTTTTGAGGATGAAATAAGATAATTCATCTTAAGAACTTAACACTTGACACATGGTAAGTACTCAATATTAAGGTTGACTTTTATTATTTTTCTATCATTTTCCTGCTGCTTCAGTTCGCTTTATTTTTTCCCTCCCTTAATATATTGTTCACCATCTAGTGACCTACAATATTAGAAATAGAATGTACCTGGGCATCTGGAAGTTTAACATTTAATATGTTCATAGGTTAAATCAGTAGTGTAGTCATTAAAAATAAGAGATTGATAATCACTAAGCAATAAATTGATTCAGTTAACTAATCTTGTGATTAGCTGACTTGAGAATTGTTACAATGCCCAATACATTGTAGGTAATAAATACATAATGAATGAGTTCAAGACAGATGACAAAACATTGTTAAAATGGTAGTGACAATTCGTAGTGATATGTGACCTTTCTTTGTCTTATTGTCTCTATTTACTATTTTCTGAGGGAATCAATGTTTTTATCTTTCTATTAGTTTTCAAAATGTGTGGTTTGTGTGTTTTATGTTTTTCTTCCATAGTACCATTGACAGTATCCATTTTTCAGATATGGTGGCTAACCAGAATCCATAGTATTCATACCATAGAGATGGATTAACTGAGGAAACATGATAGAGACAGGAAAGGGAAAGCAAAGTGTCTGAATGGAGAAAGGGATTGTCTTGGGTGAGGTGAAGGGGATATGAGAATGATGCTGACAAATGACAGGATTATTCTGTGACCTGCAGCAGGAGGAGGGAGAACATCTGGTTCATTTAAACATTTTCTGATTATCTTCTACATGCTGGACAGAGTTTTGGGAGTGAGGGTCATAGAGTTTCCATGGAGTCTTCAAAATTTTCACATATTTGGAGATTGTATTAATTTTCTCTTACTATCTTAAAGAAAATATTACTACAGACCTAGTGGCTCAAAATGACAAAAAGGTCAGAAGAGTGACAAGTTTCTGGGTTAAAGTATAGAGACTGGCCAAGTGTTGTTCCATGTTAGAGGCTCCAAGGGACGAGACTGTTTCCTTGCCTTTCCCAGTTTCTAGAGGCTCCTGCACTCCTTGGCTCATGACCCCTCCTCCTTCCTCTGTCTTCAAAGGCAGCAACTTCACATCTCTCTGACCCTTCTGCCGTCATCATCATCATCTCTCTCTAATGAAGGAGGAAAAAAGCTGGCTCAAAAGCAGGGAAGTCTCTCTGCTTGTAAGATCCTAGAGTGGATCCACCCAGATCATCTCTCTGTCTCAAGGCCCTTAATCTTGCCATATTTACTAAAGTCAGTGTTGCTATGCAAGGAGACATATCCACAGTTTCCAGAGACTAGGACATCTTGGTGGGCGCTATCATTGTTTCTACCACAGGATCAAACATAAACATAACCAACTACAGTAAATGATAAGTCATTTGATAGACTGAGCTACAGGATAAAAGAAGACTTAACATAGGCCAAGAACTGCAGAACAAACCACAGAGGCAGGACAGCTGAGCTAGGGTAGAAAAATGGAGGATTTCACCTAGTATATAAGAACAGAGGCATCCAAGATAGAAACAATAGCTTGAGCAAGCCACCTAGTTTTTTAAAGTTTTATTTTACACTGGACTATGGTTGATTCACAATGTTGTGTTAATTTCAGATGCACAGCAGAGTATATACATGTATCTATTCTTTTTCAAGTTATTTTCTCACTTAGGTTATTACAGACTCCTGAGCAGAGTTCCCTGTGCTGTACGTAGATTCTTGTTGGTTATCTATTTTAAATATAGCAGTGTTTACATGTCGATCCCAAAGAGTTTTACAGTACTTGGTCCTACATTCAGGTCTTTAATCCATTTTGTGTTTATTTTGTACATAGTGTTATAGAGTACTTTAATTTCATTCTTTTACATGTACCTGTCTGTCTAGTTTTCCCAGCACCACTTATTGGAAAGACTGTCTTTCCTCCATTGTGTGGTCTTGCCACCTTTGAAATAGATTAAATACCTGGTTTTGATTTGCATCTCCCTGATGATTAGTGATGTTGAACATCTTTTCCTGTACCTGTTGGTCATCTATTAAATATATATCTTCTTTGGAAAAATATCTTTTCAGATATTCTGCCAACTAGGGACTGTTGTGAATAAAGCTGCTGTGAAGTTGTTTTGTTAATATGGAAAAAACACATAACATTTACTATTTGAACCATTTAAAGTATACAGTACAGTAGTATTAACTGTTATGCCCATTGTTGTGTAACGTATCTCTAGAACTTTATCTTGCAAAACTAAAACTCTATACCTATTAAACAAATTTCCTTTTCCCCTTGGCCTAGCTCGTGGTAACCACCATTCTAAGAATTTGACTACTTTAGATATATCATATGTGAATCATGCAGTATTTTCCTTTTTGTGACTGGCTTACTTTACTTAGCATAAAGTTGTCAAGGTTTATTATCCCTGTTGTAGCATATGACAAAATGTCTACCTTTTTTTATGGCTGAGTAATAACTCATTGTAGGTACATACCACATTTCCTTTATCGATTCATCTGACAGTGTTGCTTCCACCTCTGGCCATTGTGAATAATTCTTCAATGAATTTAAGTATGTAGTCTATCTCTTCAAGATCTGATTTTGAATTATTTTGATTATATACCCAGAAGTGGAATTCCTGGATTATATGGTAATTTTTTTTAACTTTCTGAGAAACCTAAGTCTTTATGAAACTTTTGTATAGGTTTTTACTTTGTGCCATTTTCCTCTCCCACCAGCAATGAAAGACAGTTACATTTGTCTTATATCCTCACCTGCACGTGTATAACGGGTCCTTATTATTTTAGCCTTTCTGGTGGGTGTGTAGTGATAGTACCTTGTGCTTTCAAATTTTCTCACAAAAGCTATATTCATGTCCATATCAGGCCTTCTTGGCACACACTCTCCCTTGTGATTGGAGTACTTAGCTTGTCTTATTTCTCTTCTCACTGACCCTTCACTGGCCTTTACATTGTCTTTAAAGTTCAGATCACATATCACTTCCTCTTCTTGGAGAATTTTCACTGACTGTCAATACCAAAATTAGATCCCGTCCTTCTGTTCTATCAGTACTACATCTCCCCCATACCTCTCGGACATAGAACAGAGGCAGGGGTGTATCACGGATACTCAATATAATTATTTCTTTAATCACTGAAAGTTTCAGTACTCTGAGGAGTGTGCCAGCATTGGTGGAGATTTGAGGCTTTGGACCTCTCACAGTAAACTATGGCAGCATTCGGGAAAGCAGTTTACTACCATTTTTAGTCAACACAAAGCAAATAACCTGGTAATCTTGCTCCTAGAAATGTATATTGAAAACATTCTCATCCAGGGTAATTACAGCACATGTACTAAGAATACAGCTTCTTCATGAAAGGCAGAAGGGAATCATCAAACCCAGTGTCCATTATTGGAAGAACAAAGGTCAAAATGTGAAGGTTACACATCAAGGAGATGCCATGTATCACTTGGCTGCTACAGACTAGATAACCATAACTGCATACAGTGATGTTTATATAATAAGTGTACTCAGAAAATTACACAACAAATGATAAAATTTACATAAAGTGAAAATATATGTCCATAAAACAATAATATATAACTTTAAGGAATCCTATGAACAGAACAATATACATAACAAGAATTAGATTGCTTACCTTGGAGGAGGAACAGGAAAGTACAGGGATTAAATTAAATCAGTAAACCAAGAGGAAATGTGTCTTAAAAATAACATTAATATAAATTAACAAATGCTGCTTTAAAAATCATAGGAAACTAAATACCCCTTTAAGGAAAAATACAAGAATTTAAATTTATGCTATATCTTGTCTCAAATTCTTTATGCTTTTTATTTTTGTAAATTAACTACTATGCTTGCTGGCCTAAACTAATCTTTCACATAATGTATGAAGTCTTTGGCCTTCATCAATAGAGGACTGTCTGTGTTCACTTCTACTTACTGTTGTAGAAGTTTATGTCTTTCAGCCAGCTGAACTATTATACAAAAATTTATCTTTGAAGGTTATATTTTACAGTTATTCGTGACTTTCCTGTATCTCCACCTCACCCAATTGCAAATGGAATTAAATCCCCATACTGAAGATTCATCTCTCCCTTTCACCCCTCTCTTACCACAACTGTGTTTCTGTTAATCAAGGTAAACTTGGTATCTTTCCATAGAAGATTAAAGTGGAGAGCCCCCACATTTCCAGAGTACCAAAAACAGACATTTAAGGGTCATCTTTAACCAGTTCACTTTCTAAGTGTTTAATGAAGGTGATTTCTTAACTTAAAAGCATATGCAGACATGTAACAGGGATTAGGCAACAATAATACTGTGTCCATTGAGAGCTATGGATATGAGAACACCCAGAGAGCAGATCAGAGATTATTATTTCAGTTTTAAAGAGACCATGACTTACAGGTAAATTTTAGAAAATGGGAGAGCTGGGACCCTCAACACATGGCATCTGCCTTGAAATCCAGGATATTTTCCAACTTGCTATGCTACTGATATTACTTCTGTGTTTCAAGACACAGAGATTTGGCTGGTTGAGATTCATTTCATTAGAATGTAAATTAACTATTTTCCCAAAAGTGGTTAATTAAAATGACTCTGAAGAGAGGATAGTGAAGAGAAGTATCTTGATGGCAAGCTTTTTATATTGTACCTCAAAGTCTTCATGTTTTAACGAAAGCAGCTTCATTCTGCAGTGAATGGTTTGTGCTGAAGACACTTTGCTTACCTCCTCAGAGTCTAGGCTGAATGCCTGGAGAATGCACAGATCTTCCACCTAAGGCAGATATGTTTTCTTTACTTCTTTGACCCCTGAGACATTATCTACTCACCACAGTCTCTGAAATTCCTGCTATAATTAAGTGCTAGATGTGGGGGAAAGATCATGTTGGTGTGGCTTTGGGTTAGAAGTAGGAAAATTCAGATGGAAGGAGTATTGTCACTAAGACGACAGAAGAACTGAGCCTCTGTCCCCACCCCACCCCCACAGAGATCAATAATTAGACTGCTCTCCATGAACAGAAACAGCCCTGGGAGGGCGTAGGTGTCCACCTTAGAAACATCCGCAACAGAGTAGAACAAAAAACCTGAGAATAACTGGACAAAAGAGCTTCATTTTGTCTGTGTCATCCCGTCCTCCAGGCTGGCATTGCTCAGCGCCAGGAAGGAGAAGTTTCCCTCACCAACAAAGGAAGAATAGGGTGACTGGCTTCCCTAGCTTTCTGGGACACTGCAGGAAAGACCCAGTTCAGTTTCACTTCGCCCAGAGATGAGCAAAGCTGAGATGTATGGAGATGACTAGGAACAGAGAAGGAGGGCGGGGGGACTACCAGGTCCAGTCCTGCAGTGGGAGCAACCATAGCTCCAAGGAGCCCCGCTGCTTCCACCACGGAAGAAACCAGTGCCCAGTACAGTCTCTTTCAACTCCCTGCAGATTTCTCCACTGAGGTTTGCCCCTCACTGGCTTTCACCTCCATGGTCATCAATTGCCTGAGTTTCTCCTCCATCCCTCCCCACCACACACACAGCCTGGGACCCTTCCCAGTGGCCAGTCCCAGCCTCTGTGGCTGCACAAGAGCAGGGTGCCAACCTGTGCACGTCCATGCTCTCAGCCTGCCCCCCATTACCAGCCTTCACGGCTGCGTGTGCATCTAGCAAGACCTGCAATCAAGGATGTCCATGCTGACAGTCAGGCCCCCCCAGAGGCCTCTGGGCTTTCAGCTTTCAGCCCTGTCTCTCGTTACTGGCCTGAATCTCAACTCCTGCTCGCTCCTCCAGCTGTGTACCTGCACACGCCCAGCCTGGCTCGCATCACAAACCTCTACTGCATGCTCACCCCTGTGGTGAGACCCTTCATCCATGGGAGTGAGTGGGGTGATGTATTAAAAGTGCTGAAAGAAAGAAAAAAAGGAAAAACTGCCAACCAGAAGACTTTACCTGCCAAAGTTGTCCATAGAAATTAAGGGGAGATAGACTTTCCCGAACAAAAAGAAGAAAGTTGAGCTAGTTCATCACCATAAGACTTTTCTTTCAAGAAGTGCTGAAAGAGAGTTCTTCACACTGAAAAGACAGTACAATAATTACTAACATGAAATCATATGAAAATATACAACACACTGGTTAAGCTAAGTGTATAGTCAGATTCAGAATACTCTAATATGGTGATGTGTTAAACACAACTCTACTTAAAGGCTAAAGTACAAAAATATTTTAAGTAGCCATAGTAATTTATTAATGGATACACAGTATCAAAAAAGTATAAATCATGACATCAAAAACAAACTAGAGAGAGGAGGAGTGAAAGTATATGTTTTATATGCAATCAAAGTTATTAACAGGTTAAAATTAGACTGTTAAATCTATAAAATGTTTCAAGTAAGCCTCAGGTTAACTGCAAAGCAAGAACCTATAGTAGATAAAGAGAAAGGAATTAAAGCATACCACTATGGAAAAATCATCCATTTTAAAGGAAGGCATCAAGAGATGAAAAAAATAAAGTACAAAACAGCAAGAAAACTATATAGTGGTACTAAGTTATTAACTATGAATAATTATTTTAAATGTAAATGGCTCAAAGTGAAAGGACCTCTGTATTCTAATGTTCATTGCAGGCTTATTTAAAATAGCCAAGATAAGGAAATGTGGTGTATACATAAAATAGAATATTATTCAGCCATAAAAAATGGTTCAACATGGGTGAAACTTGAGAGCATTATGCTGAGTAATATAAGACAGAGAAAGATAAATGCTGTATGATCTCACTTATATATGAAATCAAAAAAACACTGAACTCTGTATGAGGTGATGGATATTACCTTAACTTCTGTGATGATAATTTCACTATATGTGTCAACCAAACTATCGTGCTGTACACCTTAAACTTACACAGTGAGGTATGTCAGTTACTTTTCAATAAAACTGGAAGAAATGTTAAACTCATAGTAGGCTGAAAGTTACCAAGGGCTGGGAGATAAGGAAAATGGGACAATGCTGGTCAGAATGTGGAAGCTTCCAGTTATAAGATGTCTAACTGCTGGGGATCTGATATACAGCATGATGACTTACAGCTAACAATGCTATATTGTACACTCACAATTTGCTAGTATTCTTAATGTTCTCACCATAGCAACAAAAATGGTAATTATAGGAGGTGAAGGCTGTATTATTATGGTAAACATTTCATAATATATATGTGTATCAAATCATCACATTGCCTTAAACTTGTAATCATCAAACTGTGTATCTCAATAAAGCTTGGAAATAACATAAAAGTTCAGTCTTTATTGGAGTATCTGATTTGAGGATTATATACCTATATAATCCATGTATTCTCAAATGTAAATATGTTCACATGTTTATGAATAAATTAGCTTACTTAACTGTTTTCCTTAATTTAAAAATTTTCTTCTGGGAATGCTACTAATTTTACTTTGGAAAGATTTTACTATAGGATGACTTATGACTCATTTAAAAACTCTTTACATTATATAGCAGCTCTAAACACTTTCTCACAACCTCCTTATCCAATACACTCTTGGACAGGCTATAATTTCTCTAAGAATTTTTCTAAGTATTCCACATAGACTCATTTGGATATCCTTTTTAAATAATAATGAATACCTAACATTTCTCATTCTTTTGTGGATGCATTAAAATTTTTTTACTGTTCCATGGATAAAATCTTTCAATGTTTTAAATTTATTTTAAAAATGCTAAATTAAAATGGCAGCTACTTTATTGATACATATAGAAATCTTTTTTTCTTTATATGTATAAAACAACACATCTATATTGTTCATTTGCCTTCATTAACAAACATTCTAATATGAAAGTAATGCATTACAGAATATTGGCAATTAGATACACAGTATGCAAAAGAAAATTAAAACCATCTACCTGTTATTCCACCATCGAGAGAGAACTGCCATCCAATTATTGTGCTTCCTTATGGTAGCATAGGCATAACTCTGTACCATTCAACACAATTTTATGCTTATGTTAGATGATGAAGGGACAAATCCAAAGTATTAAGTAACTACTGTCTCATAGTGTATATTGTTTAGAAGTCAATTTTACTTCCTTTTTTAACCTTCACTAATTCTGTAAGGAACATCTTTTTTCCTCAGGGTTTTAAACATGAAACCACAGCCTCCCAGAAGTATAGTTACAACATTAGCAGTTGCACTCTTAGCAGACTGCAGAGCTCAGACGCATACTCCGTTCTCCTGACATCTCAGACCCCAACATTCTTCCCCCAGCAACCCAGCTCCCTCATATATTTGGATTCCGGCTACAGTTTGTCCTTTTGACTAAATTAAAAATCATTCTAAAAGTTTGCCTTGAAACACCCTCAGAGTGTTAGTAAATTAAAGCTAAATCTCAAGTATAAATTTTCAAGCAATTAGTTTTGGTTTTGCCGGAGCAGAACACCCCACAGATGATGCCGAATAAAAACTATTTACACACTATGATAGTGCATTTCTTGTAAAAGCGTTGGGTCTGTAGCAGTGATTTGCTAATCAAATTCAGAATTTGATTTGAAATGCCTCCGGCAGGCAGCCAATCCAGTTATGAAAGAACAGAAGCAAAAACCAGAACCCTGGTGAGTCTCCCCCAGAAGCTAGCTAGGTCCTTTGCTCTCGTTAGCAAACTGGTTCCATAGGAAATCACTGCAATTGCTCCTAAAATAAAATGTCGTTAATTTTTTCAATAAATTATTGGACTGTACGAGACACAAAACATGTACATTTTGGAATCTAGAGTTATAAAATATTCTGACATGTTTTAATATAAACAGGAACATTTCCAATGATTGCTTGGATCGAAAATGTTTTTCCACTTGACATTTGTTTATACTTCCTAGGAAAGAAACTCTATTTATGGATAACTGAATAACACAAATAAACATCAGAGAGAGCTGAAAAATCAGCTTTGATTATGCATGAAAATCTACAATGTCATTGTGTACTCTTATGCTGTGTTCTGATTGCCTGTTTATTTTTACAGAACTGCTGGTGAGCCTATGGAAGAGGAGCCAGCCCTCTGAAGGGCCAAGGCCTCCCCAGCCCCCACCCCGATATTTCCTGTGTGTGACATCATTGTGTACCCCCCACCACCCCAGCACCTTCAGACATGTCTTGTCTGCTGCCTGGGTGGCACAGATTCGATGGAACATAAACACTGGGCACAGAATTCTGAACAGCAGCTTCACTTGTTCTTTGGATGGACTTGAAAGGGCATTAAGGATTCCTTAAAAGTAACCGCTGTGATTCTAAAGTTACAGTAAACCACGACTGGAAGAAACTGCTTCCAGCATGCTTTTAATATGCTGGGCAACCCACTCCCAGGCCCAGAAACATGCAACACAGCATTAGATACTGTTAATTACAGATGCTGTGACAGCCAGTGAAATTTTGGGCAAAACCTGAGAAATACTCATTCCTGACATTCTGATCAGTTTTTTATTGGGTAATTTTTTGTCAGACAGTCTTAAATTGTTTACAGGATTTGCTTTCAGCTATGAACGGATAGCAGTTCCCGACAGATCACGCGGCTTGTTTTGTTCTGTTGTGTTTGTTTTTGGCCTTTGTTTTAACACATGGTTCAACTCTTGCTAGTTAGAGTCCAACATGGAGGAACGGAGATGAGGCTTTTTTCAGGGGAATAAAACACGCAGTATCGCAAAGTCCAGTGGCAAAAGAACGGCACACACTGTATGTAATTTTCTGAGCAGTCATGCCGCTTCCCTAGCATCCCTCCCTGAGTTCCGGCACAGGAACTCTGCAGTTCATTTGGGACGATGGCTCCGTCCTGCCAACCCCCTGCCCCCACCCCGGCTCCACGTCCCGGGCTCCGAGGACGGTAGCTCTGAGCATATGTTCCACGGAGTATTTTCACTGTCTTTGAAAAAGTGTGTGTCTTTTCAGAGGCCATCTTAATTTGTTCCAAATCTATCAAGAACTTCTCTTACTTTTATTTTAGTCTTCCATCACTTCCTTTCTTCTTGCCTTTCATCCTTCCTTCCTATTAAAAAAAAAAAGGTGAGGATTACCCACAATCTCCCCAATTACTCAGGAGCTTTGTGAACTTAGTTTATTTTATTTTTTTACTTCCCAGGTTAACACAGTTGCTTAGTCTGATGTATTCTTTTAGCTGTAAAACGATTGAGGGTAAATATGGCTCAAGCAATGTTACTGAGTTTTCCAGACCTTTGAAACGTGTTAATGAAGGCATTGCCTATCTGAAGTCACCTAGAATTGAGTTAGCCTTCAAGTTGTGCCTTCATGTGAAAAACACACAACACAAACTGAACCTTTACACATGCTGCCTTAGTGTCAGAGGCAAAGAATAAAGGACATTTATTTCTGAGATTAAAAGCAACTTGTTAAATATAAGTAGGTTATCCCCCTACCTCCCCTTATTCTATTTCAATGTGTAACTCAAACACCTAAAGACATTGATGTGGAATACCTCACAGTATTTAATATCTGATGACGCTTTCAAAAGAGTTGATTTTTTAAAATATATTTTCCTAACTCAAAGGATATATTAAAGCCATAAGTGAAGATTGTCATGCTTTTATTCAAAAATCTGAAAGAAACCTTAATTAAAACAAGGTTTTAGGGAAGGCCATGATATGAAAGATATGGAACAATATGGTTTTAGTTAAAGAGGACTCCAACCTGTAAATCAAAGATGAAAGATTTCACTCAAGTAGAATTATATAACTCCCTTTTGTTATACAGTCAGACCATATTTTTCATGCATTTGGTTTTCTTAGGATTACCATTTTAATTTTAAAGACTTTTATTACATATACAAAAATGGCTCGATACTTGGTTTAACATCTTAGAAATTTGAGACACTCTTTGAAATAGGAAATCTGAAATGGAATGTAACTCAGTATTAGTTAAAAATTACTTTCATTGCATAAGGGTAAGGTCAATCTAGACTCACAATAGTAATGAATTTTTTTTCATGATATTTTTAGAGAAATTCATGCCAATCATATTTTCTAGCTCTTGCTATTTTTGCTGTAATTGCTTGAGGAGATTTACTTAAAGAAACCAAAGGTTTAAAAAAAAAACAACACATTCCTCCTCCCTTTAAAAAGGAAAGCTATATCATATTGTAATTGGAAACATAATTGTGACTTTTTAAAATCAACTTTGTAATTACAAATCTCTATTATTCCTCTCAGTCCTGCCAGATATTTTTTTTAGACTTTGAATAAGAAAATGAAATGCTATAATGCAAACATACTAATTTACTGGAGTTCCCTACAATAATTTTACCTTAAACATTATGCACAGCCATCAGTCTGATAAAGCCAAATCACTAGCACAGCACCATGGTTTTTAAGATTTAAAATCTTAAACATTAATGAGTTAATCATACATCCTTCCACATGATACAGTACCCAGTTGGTTGCAGTTAAGAGTCTTCAGGAGACACAGAGAGGCAGATAAACTATGGAGAGGATTAATCACAGCTGAATGTAGTTGAAAGAACCAAATGCCAGTGCTTTTTGATTGTACCATTACAAGATGGTGTGTAGCCCTCAGGAACAGAATGGAGGCTTTTGGAGAGTATCAGTACTTCTTTTGAAACAGAACAGCATTTTTAATTTATTTATTTTTATTTTTTTTAGAACAGCATTTTTTAAAACAGGTAGTTTCACTTGGTATAGTTTTATTCACTTATACATTTCATTTTTATTGCTACAAGAATTCCCAGTAAGAGGCTGTTAGAAAAACTCTTCTGTAAGCATTATCAATAATATGTCTCCTCCTATTCCCTGCTTTGAAGGGTAATCACATAGGCTTTCTCACAATCTTATAATAACTCATATATGAGGGATAAAAATAAATGTTTTTGAGAAATCTACTAGTAAACAATACAAGGAGTATAATAAGATTTGATAATAGGTACAAAATGAAAATGTAAAAAAACTTCTCAATTATATAGTATAAACTAGGGTTATATATTAAATTGAAATCCAGTTTTATTAAATAATGAAATGGAACTCAAATGATAATAGAGGCTATTTAATCATTGCTTAGTAGGTGAAAACATTTTGAAATGAAATATTTTTTAATATTTTAACAAATCTACATCAATACTTTGGCCACCTGATGTGAAGAGCTGACTCATTGGAAAAGACCCTGATGCTGGGAAAGACTGACAGCTGGAGAAGGGAAAACAGCATGCGATGGTTGGATGGGATCATTGGAGCAATGGATCTCAGTTTGAGCGAACTCCAGGAGATAGAGAAGGACAGGGAAGCCTGGCGTGCTGCAGTCCATGGGATCACAAGGAGTCAGATGTGGCATAGCGACTGAACAACAATGACATCAACAGTGGAGACAAAAGCCAGCTTTTGGAGAAAACAGATACTTATGAAGAACTACTGTAAGTCACATTTCCGTGATCAATTGTAGAAACTGAAATCATGCCTTCGGCTTTGACTATAAACCTTTGTAAAATTCTCCCACACCTCTCACTGGCAACATAGTAGATTTGAAAGCAGGACAGCTCCTCACACAAAGATTTCAGAAACTAAAAGACTGGTTTTCCCCAACAATTCAGTACCATTTTATTTCATAAAAATTTCCCCAAAGCTTTGTGGATTTACTAGGATTCTTTGAAGATTCCATATAGATATAAAATGATCATGTGGAAGTTCTCCTGGGAGAAAATTTCTCTCCAATCAGCATTTTCATACTTATTTTTTATCCTAGCATTTATGTTTAGGACAATTTCATTTTTTTTTTTTTTTACTATTTATGTTTAGAAAGTTTATGTTTAGAAAATTTGTCTCAGTGGAAATAGCAAATGCCTAATAGCCACAAAACAAATAAGCCAAAGGTTCCTGTCTTAAAAGTGATTCATTCTGAGCTTGAAATAATCACTCTGTCATGAGTCTGACATTGTCATTTCTAGCAGCATCTATCTTCTTTTCCTGATTCACGAATGAAATCACTTCACTTACTGAGTAAATTTTTTTTTTTAAGTAGTAGTAGGAAACAACACATCCGTTGAACCATTCCATAGGAGGGCATTTTCATCTCCAAAAGAAATGAAAACCAGATGGTGTAAGCTAAGAAATGAAGGCATTTTATTGTCTTAAAAATTGATCATCAGCATGGTCATGATCATCACCAAATATATCCTGTGTTCCCAAAGGACACAATTATATTTTGGTCTCCAGCACTATTTTGCACTGTTTACTCCCTTTTGAATGAAGTATTATGAGTACTACATCACTGTCATCAACACCCTCACTAAAATACGTAAGTGCCTGCATGGGGCTTCTTTTCCTGGTCATATTTACATTGAAAATCTTACCTTTTGCCTCCTAACAGCTTGTTTTTACTCCATCAAATGCTTTGTGAAGCACAGCATGATTGTCATGTGACCAGAGTATACAGTTTTTAGATGAACATGGTATACTCACAAAGGCCTATAGAAAGGTTTTATGCAATGGTTTATGCAACAACTGAGTCAAAGTTACTGACATTCTGGAAATAGCTGGGTCAGACAAGTGAACCTTACACTCGTGATCTGGGGCTGCTTCCGCTTGACCTCAATGGTAGGGTAACAGGGTTGTAACAATTTCTCAAACCATCTTAATTCTCAAACTGGAACATTTAGCAAATATGTGGTAAATTCACCGTACAGTGCCAATCTTTCTAACCAATAATTTCCTTTCTACTCCTCCCCTCCTTCCCTTGTCCAACTGCCAATACCAAATTGCCATATCGAAACTATCAGAATAATTTCTTAAATCTGTTTCCTTAGTAGAGGCAACCTTGGCAACTTATTTCCTATGATATTACTAGGTACTGCCATTTTATAATATATAAACACTGTAGTACATACTCTATCTTTTTTATCTTTCTCTTCAAGAACCACTTGACTTATTGCTATTCTCAGTAGATAAATCAAGTTATTGTGTTTTGATCTACAGCTTTGGACCTGTCATTTGTTTCAT